GAAGAACCCCATGAGATGATGCATAGGTCCCATCTATTAGAACAATGTATTTAGATTTCACCTGCTGCTAGGTGATGTCACCAAAATAGATAACTGATTCACGCCCATTCATGAAATGAACCCATAATGTAGTCATGGTTACAACAGCCTATGGCAAGTTGTTTTGATAAGTGTTAGTTTGACTTAATATGCATTTCTGATACATAAAAAAAGAATCCTTATCAAAATGATAATTTCAAACAAAATAACATTCTTCACATCTAGAATAAACATTCTGGATATTCAGAAATTGATTTCAGATCTTCATAATTTTGTTGTTACTGGTTATATAAAGAAATGTATTTCAGATAACTTAAATACATATTTAGTCAGCTGATAAATGTCAAAACAGGCATTTAAAATGTATAAAACTTGATTGATGTTCAGAAACCATCGAATCATCTCTTCAGAATGTGTGACTGCTGGAAGGTAGCTGAGCAGATCTGCTCCAAAGCTCACCTGCAAAAACAGAGGGCTCGCTGCCTGGCTCTGTTCATAGTAGTGCGACCAAATTTAAGGCCACTTCTTCAGACCAGTGATCACTTACCCAAATATAGTCAGCAGCCCACCAACTTCGCTCCATCTCTGACATGTCTGATATTCCTTCTTGCGGTACAGAGCTCGCTGTACTCTCTCCCACTCATGCACATAGTTTTTCTGTTGCTCCTCAGACTTCAGTGGTCGGCCTTGCTCCTCTCCACCAACCAGATCCACACCATGGACCCTCTGTGCTGACGGAGGTTCTGGTTCTACGAGAACCTGATGGTGAGCAGAGAGACAGAGGCTGAAGGGTGAGGAAAAAGATTGTCTTTCCCCAAAAACAGTCAATCTTGAAGACATAAATCTGTCAGTAAAACTCTCCAAATCCCGCTTATTAAACCCAAATGGTGGCTTTGGTTTCTGCTTCTAGTGGAGATGTGTTCTGAATATTCTCCCAGCAGCATCAGAGATGTGTCTGCTTTCATTGTTGGACCCAGAGGATATTAATGTCTAACAAAGTGTTGTCATGTCAGTCCAAGAAGAGGCAAATGAAAACAACAGAGCAGTTTTTAGAGGCAAATGAAAACCATAAAATCCCTTCAGAACAATCTGCAGGGCTGCATCAGAACCAGTTCTTTACTAAGGAACTGGAAGAAAAGAACATGTTCCCAAAGCTTTCCAGAGCAGAGATCCTCTTCCTTCATGGGCTGAACCACATCCAAACATTTCATGATCCTCAGAGTTCAGCTAAAACCTCCCAGCTGGGCTCAGACTGAGGAACAGCTTTGTGTTGCTGTTCCTCAGGAAGGATTCTGGTTCTGGACAATCTGAAGCTGTTAATATCAAACTTTACATTCTATAGAAAAACACCAGTAACACCAGTAAGAATGAAGGGCAGGACCCAGTTTAATCCCAGGCAGCTGCTTCTGCAGCAGCAGCTCAGCCTCTGATTGGCTGTTAGGGCTCCACGTCATTAAGGCACACTGCAAAAACCATCTACAAATAAGTACAAAATTTCTTAAAATAAGTGTATTTACCCTTAATTT